TCCGGGGCGGGAGTGCCCGCCGAGCTTGGGAGCTGCCTGTGCGTCCTGGCGGGTGGGGGGGACACGGGTGGCCCTTGTCACATGCCTGTAGGTGTCACTGTCCCCCTGCCATAGCCTGCCGAGCGGCCGCGGGTTGGAAAGGGGCTGGGAGCTGGAGGCTGAGGATGGCTGTGCCCGGCTGGTGCCTTGCATGTGGCAGCAAGGGGAAGGGGAAGCTGCTCCCCAGGGCGCAGGGGCAGCGATGGGTGTGGGCATTGCACGAAGTGGGGTGTCCCCGTGCATCACCCTCCGGGGCGGCCGAGGATGCCCTCCAGGTCCCGTCGTGCCTGTCTTTGCCCAGCCTGTGCCCCTTCCCCATGCACCCGTGATGGGATGGGCCAGTGGCCTTGCCTGGGATTGACTTGGCAAGAATTTATTTCAAAAAGCAAAAGAAAATGATAAAATGATAGAAAATAGCTTGAGAGCTGAGGGAGTGCCGGGCGGGAAGGGGAGGGCTTGCCAAGGCAGGGTCCGAGCAGCAGGCGGTTGCTGTGCACGGGCAGGAGCCAGGTGAGCTGGATGGTTGCCACCCCGAGGGGCGGCTAGCACAGAGGCCATCCCCGAGGGGAAGAGTTTGTACCGAGCTGCAGCCGTTCTGCAGCCCTGCCAAGCCCGAGTGCTCAAAAACCCGTGAGTCAGATGCCCTAAAAATCCCGTGGCGGGCCTGAAAACGATGAGCTGCAAAATAAAAACCAAACAGAAATGTGCGCAGTGAGTTTGGATGGGCTTTCTGCTTCCCTTGACTCTTGAGAGGTCATGTGTGGAGGTTGGTGTCCCCAAGCACCGGGGCTGGAAACATGCTGTGTTTGTTTATTTGCCTGTTTGGTTCTAATAAGAAACAGAGTCCCGCGGCTCCGGGAGCCGAGGCGTTGGGTTAACCCTCCACCTTCCCCACCCCATGCCTTGGGGCACGTCACCGCTGCTGGGGTGCCCTGTGACATCCTGCTTGCTTCTTCAGGCCACTGGCTGAGTTTAGTCGTATTTAACAGCCCCCAGCGGGGTTATGGCTGGGGACACATCCAGGCTTGTTTTAGGCACGATGGAAGGATGCTCTCCCTCTCTAGAGCCCAAAGGTGGCTCTAACGCTGGGGATCAGTTGGGGACCGTGGCTGGGGCAGGGGCTGATGTGTGGGGTCCCGGGGAGGGAGTGCAAGGGGTTCGCCCCACCTGGTCTCCCTCCCTCACCTCTCTGCCCTCATCTCTCCTTCCCCTGCCCG